CTCAGGTTGGCAGGATGGTGTGGCACTGCTTTGCTCTGCCATAACTGACATCTAAGTTTCTAAGTGGCCCTCAAGAGTCTTGCTCCCTGCGTAGATCAGGTGCAGGAGGAAGGTTGTACTACATACAGAGTCACATGAGGCAGGATGTTGGCTATGCTGCTCCTCACATCCTTTGCGAAACAGAATAACACTACAGGCTGATATACAAGCTGTGGCAGACCCCGTGTTAGGTGCCAAGCTGGAGTCAGATAATGGTCAGAGCACGAAAGGAGAACAAAAAGGGAAAGCAGGATCAAGGGGTATGATCCAGCCCTTCACCACTTATCTTTGCATTTTTTAAAGAGCCAGTATTCAGAGCCTGTCTGACAGGCGGAGCTCTGGAATGAGCAAAAGGGCTCCTGTATATGTCCAAAGATGGTCTTCTGTTCAAAAACACGAATAGTCTCTTGAAGGTATGAAGGAATTGTGGCTAATTTGCTGAAAACTACTCTGCAGCTCTCACCCGTTTTTCTGTTTTCACAGGCCATTGTGCTATTAGACATGGTGAATGCACTGAGCTGTGCTGGAACTTTTCCATTTGCCCTGCTAATAAGTGTGAACTCAACTTTCAGCTGATGCTTCTTTCTTCTGTTGATTCTTGCGCTTAGTCTCTCTCTGCTGTTAGGATACTGGGACTTTAAAGTTATCATCCTAAAATCGCTGCCTCAAAAAGACCTCTTATCTCTCAGAAGGGACATATTGGGAAATGCCTTGGATAGACATGCTGATTTGATTCATGTCTGTGCTTTATATATAGCCATTTTTTACTGCACGAGGGAGTACTTACACATTCTTCCCAAGTGGAACCTTGTGCCCTCTGTACATATCAATGCCATATTTTACCCTACCCTTGTGTTCATCATTAATTTATTCTCATCCTTTCCTTTCCTTATACTCTTCTTCTCTTATTGTTTTTATCTCCCTCTTCTCCTTGATTTCTGAATTATTAATCTTTTCAGTCCCCACACCTTATTCCGTTTCTACTTTTCTCTTCTCCATCACTCCAGCC